ATTTCAAGTGTCTACTTGACCCCTATTGAAAGTTGTAATTTTTTAAAGAAAATTGTGAAATTGTTCATTTTAAGTCATAATTAACTTGTTTAGCAAACATCTCGATTTTGATCAATTTCAATAAAATTTCCAGCGATTAAAAGCTCAAATGTCTTGTGCGGATGGTGAAAATTTCAAGTTTCTACTCGCACTCAGTTGAAAGTTATAGTTTTTTAAAGGTAAGCGTATAAGTTTGTGAAATCGGGCGTTTTAAGCGAGAATTGACTTAGTAAACGTAATTTTCTAAAGAAAAGTGTAAAAATGGCCGTTTGAAGTCAACATTAACTTATTTAGCAAACATCTGAATTTTGTGCGATTTGAATAAAATTTTCACAGATTAAAAATTCAATTGTCGTGTGCGGATGTTGAAAATTTCTAGTCGATCTCAGTTGAACGCTATAACTTTTTAAAGGTAAGCCTGTAAGTGTATGAAATCAGTCATTTTTAGCCAGAATTGAATTAGTGAGCAAACATTCGGATTTGGTGTGATTTTAATGAAATTGTCGGCGCTCAATTATTCCAATATAATCTCTGGATTGTGAGAATTTGAAGTGTCTTCTTCACCTCTATTGAAAGTTATCATTTTTTAAAGAAAAGTGTGAAATTGGTCCTTTCAAGTCATGATTAGCTTTGTTAGCAAACATCTGCGTTTTACATCATTTACGTTGTCTTGAATGAATACCATGCAATGCATTTTTAACCACAAATAGCCTTTTAAAACTTTCTTTTAGTTAGAATCGCACCTTCAAAATACCGTACAAAAATATCATACCATACAAAAATAAATTAACTACACACAAAGCTACTATCGGAGTGCTACTGGTAGTCGTTTGTTGACGGGGTAGCGTTGAAATATTCTTCCTATACCATGTAGAGTCGAAAATACCCGACTGGTCCATCTCAGGTGGTGGTTCATCTCTCCCGGAATTACCTTACTACAGAAATTCAGCGCTGTTTTTTAAGGAAAATTTTTTCGCGATGACCTTACAAAAACGCTCTTCAAATACACAGAATTAAAGACGCATTCTATTAAAAAATCGTCTAAAAATGCAGCAGATACTTGGGCAAAAACAATAAAGAGCTCCTGTTGTTAACCGCAGTCATCAGGAATACTGTTGGAGCAAAAAATGTTGATGCTTGTTTTGCTAAAGTTTAAAACTCAAGTCTTTGACTTACCAGAAGGAAATCTGGGCGGAAGGAGCGGCCAACACGCGTGCCGCCCCTATAAACGGCCATGGACACATTAGCGCCCTCCGAAGTGGCAGTGACGGTCAATTCACGAAACTCTGCTTGTTCCACCCGAATTTCATAATCCCCAATCCGCTTGCCCCGGAAATATTTGCTCCAATCGGTGTTCTGATCATCGATCACCAGCAGGCTCAGATGGCGGCCTGAGCCCGAAGACGTGACTCGACTGGCACTGAAAACGCACAATTGTGTGAAAACCTTCCCCAATCCGAAGAAAATTAGTACCCAGACACTGCGGCTCCTAGAATGGAAGCGCCTTGATCGCGGGCCTGTCCGGTCAAAGACTGCACCCTTTGGAGAAGACTTTCGCGTGACTTTGCTGGAGAACTGGGAGCGCTGGTTGTTTTCGATCCAGCCCGAAGATTGAGCGATAAATCACTGCTGGTGCTCGATTGCGATGGTGGAGGAGGCGGCGGAGCCTAAACAACGTTCATTCAGAAGACGATGATGATCCGTGAAGAGTGCTGGCATACCTGGGGTTGGGAGGTGACCGGCGGTGATTTTGTGTAGTGGTCGATATGGGCGTCAGCTTCATCACACTCCGAGGACAAATCCCCGGAGCTGAATCGACGTTTCAAGTAGTTGACATTGGAGGTGAAAGACTGGCGGAAGCTGCTGAACGAAATGGTGGGGCCGTTGGCGGGTTGGCCGCAATATTTGCCGCACTCGTTAATTTTGTCGAAGAAAATGAAGCACCTCGCCCTTGGACACCCTGCGCCTTAGTCCCGATCGAATCTGGCCGCTGCAGCTGCTGCAACAAGCGATTTGGGGCTACAGGATGGTCCTCAACGAATTTGGCAAGGTTTACTCATATAATATTACAAGAGAACATTTTGCCGGCAAAATTTTGAGAGGTTGTCGCCTCAAAGCAGGTAAGAAGCAACGAATTTGCATAACACAGGAGAATTTTTCCTTCAGGGGTTTTCGACAAGAGTGTTTCGTCAGAAGTCAGAAGAACCAGCGAAGCTCATGTGGAGTCATTTTTT